GCGAAATAATTTTCATTTAGTCAAAAAAGACCCATGCAATCTAAGAGATTAAGAAAAAAGAATGCTCCCAGAGTTGTTATATAGTCATCTTTTTCTGCAACTACTTGTGGTACACATTTGTGGAACAACATCCAATTTTGAACATACATATATAATACAAACAAAAATGGTTTGGTTAATATTAGCTTATCTGCTACAACCGTTTTAAATATAAAAAATTGACTGAAAATGGCACATCTCCCCTCTTCCTAAAAAACGACGATAATCTCACTTTCATTCAAATACTGTGCAAGTCCTACCACCATTGCATGCCTCAAACTTCTTACCTGCCCTATCACCAACGACCAGACCCAGGGCAAGGCAAAGTTCAACGATTGCTGGGTCAATCAGAAAGGTGGAAGTTGCGTATTAGATACAAAGGGAAGAAAATATGCGGTAAGTCCTTGTCCATAGAAAAGCCATCCAATAAAGATTCAATGATGGGATGGATGGCTAATCAACTTAAGATGGTGCAAACTGTCTAACCTAAGATACACGAAATAAATTTTTTTCCTTCAATCTTTTTTTTTTCCTTTCAAAAAGGTGAACCGTGAATGCATGCATCACATTAATTATTGTAATTAATTCTGGTTACTACCAATTAGAGGAAGAAGAGTTGAGGAAAAAAGCCCAACTAAAGAAACTGTTTGCTCTTAATTCTAACTACAATATGGTTGATGTGTATTTTACTGCGCGAGGACATGAGATTCACATGAGATTATGTAATAAAGATGTAAGATGACAAAATAATATGAGAAAAATATAATTAAAAACATCTCTATTATGTCAACAGACTAGTCCAGTAGGAAAAAAAGTCTTAATTTGCAGATCAATGGTCTCAATCTCGAACCCCATGAAAAACCCCTCATTAGTTTAGACTATCACTTGTTGACGCAACATGACACTTAGATTGGTTAAAATGTTAGCCTACAACACAGAACTCTGGAATCCACAGGAAGAATGAGAAAACCCCAAGTTTATTGATAATATGAAATAACATAACATTACCCCAGCTACATGTTTAAAATTAGTTTAAATACCTAAAGGAAATAAAATAAAAATTTAACGAAGTTTCCTAAAAATTGAAATAACACTAAAAGTCAATTTTGGACTATTAAACGATCTCAGATGTCTGAAGAAAAAAAACACTCATACATCATGACAAAACTTTTACGTGCTTTCGTTGCAATTATATAACTTGTGTCTCTCAAACATTCATATCATGTTACTAGCGCATAATGAAAAATGTGAGATACTCATTGGAGCTAATTTTTTCTCCTCCATCTTCAGTATCTGCTCGGAAAAGATGGAGGAGACAGCCTTAAATGACATGCATACAAAACAATTGTACAAGTCCATTATGATGAAAATAACTGGCCAAGAGGGAGTAACGAATATAAAATTGAGTTAGTGTTTTGTCGACGTGAATAAATGGAAGAAAGTGGGACGACTAGGGCAACATCAAAATTAATAGTGCATATTAAAATGGACTAAAATTTTACTTGGATTAGTCAATGATAATGAAATTAAACCAATTAAATTTAAACATCTTTTTTTCAAGCATGGGACCGCAGGGTTCTATGAGTCTATGAGATAGTAATTCAAATAAATTGGCGGATAAAATTTTATTTATTTATTATAAATAGCTAGTCAAGTCAACATTTTATATTGCTCTCATATTCTTATTCAATGTATCGCGACCATCGATGTTGCTTTTCCAACATTGCCTCACTTTTCTTTTTCACCTGGTATGTACTTTGTCATCTCTGAATTTATTGGTCAAAATTAAAATACGAATTATTAAACACTTCTTCAGAAAACTTAAGGAAAAAAGTCTTAGTAGTTCTCTTTTGGGGGTTTGCGGCCTCCTTCCTTGCCTCCTCCCTTCTCCCTTCATCAACTCTTTTCTCATTTCCTCTTTTTTTCCTCAAGATTGTTAGTTTATTTTGTGATTTGGAAGCAGTCACCGTGAAACAATGTCGTCACCCATGATGTAATCACCATATTTTGGCCCACATACACAAGGAGTTGGCTCCCTTCGACATAGTTTGGAGTTCTAAAGAGGGAAAAATGTCTGGTTGCATTGGGTTTGGGTTTAGTCAATAAGGAACTATGGATTTAGCAGGTATAATGCTATGATTTTCTTCCAACATTAATGGGAGATGGGAATGTGAACTTGTATATATATATATATATAGCAGTCACAAAAGAAACTTATATGAAATTACTTCACGGCACGAATCCAAATAAGATATGATTTTACAAAGTCTTAATTAGGATTTCTAACAGTCAAAATACACTTCAAACGTGTTGATTAATCCACTACCATGATACATATGAATTCAACGTTTTTGTTCTTCTTTTTTTTACGGCGGTGCCAGAATGAAATTAATTCAGTGAATGCATGAGATGAGACTTCTTCAATATAAGAAGCGCACCTATTATTGGACAATATGAACACGTGCATCTCCCCTCTCTCTGAAGATAGGCCACACAGAGCCTAGAATCACCACAAAGTTTAAAATTTCTTCACGTTTCCCGTTGACCAAACACATTGGGTTTTCTATATATTATTCATATTGCCAACTTGGTGGCCTGGTGGCCTGGTGGGGGAGAGAGCATATTTGATAGTGTGCTTCAATCTTGATGATATGTAAGATATATAATCACGAGATCAAGTATTGCTTAATTATGGATCAACTCTTTCAAGTCAACAAGTGTAGGATGTTAATTACTTTCTAAAATCCAACTATAGTATTCCAAAATTCAATCATACTTTTCAAAAACAGATATTCGAAAATAAATGTAAGAATATAATGTGATTGCTAAATTAAAATCATTTTTTTTCAAATCCCATCACTCAAACGGAGCCTTTAAAGTGCAGACATGGACTTAACCAAATTGATTAGAACGGATGTGCTCTCCACTCTACACTCGAGTTTAAATCTCATTTCATGTAGTTTTTAAAGTAGAATATCGCTTATTAGAATAAATAAAGGGTAATGATTTTTTCACTCCAATTTTATCCACTTACACTCATTTTTTAGTTATAAAATTGAGTGTAAATGGATAAAATTAGAGCGGAAAAATCACCACTCTAAATAAATAAATAAAACGGAAGCCTTCGTCTTAGAGACGTTGAAATCCTGGGGTTTTGACTCAGTGGCGCGCCATCCTTATGAAGTTAATGATTACAAAAAAGTTTATTTGAGAAGGTGACCGGCCAATCATTTTTCGTTGGTCTTGTTTCTGATTGGAGAATAGCGCATCCGCACGCATGCGTGTTTCTTTGACCCTTGAGAAGAATACCAGTCAAACTTGTTGACTTTTCATGTACCATCCTACCTTAGCTGTTACAATTAAATTCAACTATAAGAATTCATGAAAAAGCTTGCGATTTGTGTTTTGATTTTGACCAACCATGTGAAGATATACAATTACACTACAAAATTCATTAATTTTTTACCAAAATTTTTGTTGATCTAGTTGCATCTAATAAATTACTCAATACATTTTCGTTTCCTTAAAACAATAATTTCTAGATTTGTTATTTTACTACCATTGTATTATGTTTTTAAAGTTAATGAACTCTAGGCCCTTTATAAAAAGTAATGAAAAACTTATCTCACCCCACCCGCTTCGGTGTTTCCCTAATACTAATTAATATTCACTATTTTTTTTAATTATGATTGTGGCCAAATTAATAATCATGATAAACGTAGGAAGAACCGACGAAGAGGAAGGAGGGCCAACGGGAAAGAGGGAGGCCTTCCCCTTCTGCCCTCCAAAGTCATTAGACATGACAAGAAGGATAGGTAGTTTTATGTCTTCTAGTCTAATACATTGTTGTAGCCCGTGAGAGAGGAGTTTTCTATCTTTTCCCTCATGCCATGACTATTTTTTTACCTTAGAAAAAATTAACAAGAGTAGAATTGTCGTTATTAAATTTAAAGAGTGTGAGTGTGTTGAGCAGATTAATGGGTGCAAATACACTTAGTCGATCAAAACTATCATACTTCAATTTTTTTATTTTTTATTATTATTGAGAATTGATTGTCAGGCGAAAAGAAAATTTGTGAATTGGTTGACTTAGTTTAGGATTTTTTAGAGTTGACCGATTTATATATGAATAAAACTTGTCAGAAATAAAGATGCGAAACGAAGCTCAACTTTTCAAATATGAGGTGATTTATCAGTACGTCAGTAGTAGTCTATGTATTAGATTTGGGAGATTTGGGAATCTGGAGATTCTCAAATATGAAATTTCTCCAACCTAACCTTCTTCTTTCAAATCCTCCCTTTTCTCAATCTGACTAACCCTTCCTCTCCCTTGTTAAGAGATTGAAAAGAAGTCGAGGCCACATCAGCTAACAGAATTTCTCTCAAATCTGACGGAATAACTAACGTGAGACACTTACTGAAAGTATAGGTGGTATATTGAGATATTTCAAAGAACATGTGGTAATCTGAGACTATTTTGATAGCATAGAGGGCATATCCATAAATAAGTCAATAATTAATTGAACAAATAGATCTAGTAAGTAGATACTTTTATATTCATGTCAATGACAGTATGATATGTGTGTAAAAAATTTTCTTTTTGTGTTTTCTATGAATTATTTTTACACATTTATCAAACCGTAATTTACAAAAAAGAATATATTCTGTCAAGAAAGGAGACAAGAAGTATCCAATAGAAAATTGCAATTACGAAAAGAAAAAATTGTAATATTTTCAGCAAAGCTACAGAGAAAAGGTTTGTTACTTTGGCTGCTTCAACCATCGAACGTCACACCATTTTCTTATTATTAATTTATGAGATAATGGGAGTGATATTTTGTCTGCTGCACGTCCCGGGTCGTGTACTTTTACTATACTCACTATATGACAAGCCTTGTAATCTCTGCAACTCTTAATTAGTCTCTCCACTCTTAATGAAAAGCTTAAAGTCTTCGTATTCTAATCTCCTTCCCGGAAATTGCAAGTGCGCTTTGAATATACATTGTTTCTTTGTCTTGGTCCAATTCATACACCTTTTTTGTATGAGGGGAGATCTTATAGGATAAATAGCCACACCATGGCCTCAAAAATATTGAGCTCATCAAACTCTCAACCAAACTAGCTACTATATCTTAGCTTCGCTTAGCTCCCTTGAAAGATAGAGCTGTAGTGTGTACATTGACGACCAAATTATTCAGCAGAGACAGAGAGAGAGATGGTGAGAGCTCCTTGCTGTGAGAAGATGGGATTGAAGAAAGGGCCATGGACGCCTGAAGAAGACCAAATTCTAGTTTCCTTCATCCAAAAATATGGTCATGGAAACTGGCGTGCCCTGCCAAAGCAAGCTGGTAATTAGTAAAAGTTCCAAATCTGGGGGTTTTTTCTCCATAGATTAATAAGATCATTTCTTTCACATAGCTTGGTGCATTGCAGGATCACAAATAGTAGCTAAATTCTGTTTGATTTGAGCTTTGGACTCATATTTTTCTCCACTTATTTCTTTAATCAGGCTTGTTGAGATGTGGGAAGAGCTGCAGACTCCGGTGGATAAACTATTTGAGACCCGATATCAAGAGAGGAAACTTCACAAGAGAAGAAGAGGAAGCTATCATTAAGTTGCATGAAATGCTCGGTAACAGGTATTTTTCATGAAACTTTTGTAATTAAGCTAATTTAGAAACATGTTTTTTTAGGACCTTTCATATTGACAGAGGCGATAACATACGAAACTCTCACACACTGCACAGATGGTAATTTAGAAACACGCTGTTAATTAACCTTTACATGATGGTATTGTTTTTTTTTTAAATTTTAGCTGGATATTATGGGTTTAGGTTCCTTATATATATATGTTTATCAAGTGGGATTTTAGGCTATAGACATTGCTTTGAAGTAAAGGATTATACTCCTCTCTTCTTGCCCTTAATTAAGTGGGCATGATGACTAGCTAGAATTAACCACAACAATTTCAAGGAAATTAAAACCACGATCGTTTCTCGAACACACAAACAAAGGCAACTGGTTTCTATATATCTATAAAAGAATAGCCAGTGGGCTGATCAAAAGATTCTCTCTAGATTAATTGGAAGTCACCCCAATAAATTAAACCAAGTGAACCACATGCAGCCAGAAAATGTGGTCACAAGTTGCAGTCAAATTCAAAATCAAGCATAAATTTTTGTACTTGCATTAAAAAAATAAAAATAAAAAGCCAAACTCTCATGCAAAATATTTAATTTTATTAATTTCCTCCATCGATTTTCAGGTGGTCAGCAATTGCAGCAAGATTACCAGGACGCACAGACAACGAGATAAAAAATGTATGGCACACCCACTTGAAGAAAAGACTCAAAGATCAGACTTCAACCTCATCACCAGCAAGCAGTGCTTCCAATGTCACAAGCCAATCTGCTGAGCCAGAAAATATGAATTCTCCACAACCATCTTCCAGTTCCAGTGATGTTTCCTCAGTCACAGAAGTCTCAGCTGCATTGACTCATGATAATCACCAGGACATGATAACCATCAAAGGCGAAAACATGGAGCTTTCGGAAACATTCCCTGAAATCGACGACAGTTTCTGGTCTGAGGCACTCTCAGCTGATAACTCCAGCATCCCATTGGAATTTCCAGAGGCCACAAATTATCAATATTCAGGGGAGTTGGGTTTTACTTTTTGTCCAAACATGGATGATGGCATGGAGTTTTGGTACGACCTTTTCATTAGAGCTGGCCATGGGGACACACCAGAGTTACCAGAATTTTGATCAACTCTTTTACCATACCCTGAGGCAATTTTTAATTGGCGATTAGAATAGTTATTAAATATTTCTATTCTTCAAATTTGACCGTTAAGAAAAAGCTAGCTTATTGGACAGAAATTTCAATAGTGGGGGCAAAGACTTGTGCATTGACGAAGAAACTAAAAAGCTAGCTAATACCTCTTCGTATAAAGGAGAAAGGATATATGTATAATCTAGAAAAGGTGATTCGGGTCGTCTTCACAATATTGGTGGTGATTTGAAAGGTGGATAAAGAACAGAATAAAGTGTGGGAGACAATTAAAAAGATTGAGTTGATGGAAACAGTTTTGTATATATAGTTTATGGCTAGCTAGGTTTTAGTGATGATCCTCCTTAGCAGCTTGTTATTATTTGGTCAAGTTTATGTAACAATGATGACGACGATGATAACGGCGACGATGGCGAAATCGATGATGTAGTTGAACTTTTTTCACAAGGAAAGAAATGTAATTAATGCTATGAACATATTTGCATCGGATTATGTTTTGAAGTAATTTGTTTGATCATGGATGGATGTTTGGAAGCTTATCAAAAGGCCATATGAGCTCAGATTTTCACCACTAATAATAGTTTTTTTGTCGTATAAACTTTGTGTGATCCAAAATTCGCGTTCCCATTTTGGTTTGAACACCAGGCATGTACTATCTACATTGATCTTAGGAAAAAGCAGAACAACTTCTAAACCTTAATAAGTTTGTCTCTATCTTGTCCATCAGTTCATTTCAATTTTTCCACAAACTTTCCAAGCCCATGATTGATGACATGCTCTTTTAAATTGTTAAAAGTAAAGGGAATAGGAGTGTTTTTTCCAAGATGGTACCAGTATAATAGTGGTCACAAAGGAGCTAACGACTTACAGACTTGTGGTCTTGTTAAAGACTTCAAAAAAGTTGAATCAAAATATCCATTTTTGTGGTCCTTGTGGATTTACTTAACTTAGTCGTCAGTGTAAATTTCTTCTTTCTTTCCTTTTTATTTTTTAAATCACCATCAAATCAATTTTTAGGCATCGTCAAGCATTAATTAGTCTTGACTACTACTTCTTTGTGAACCCAGTAAAGAAAATGAGAGATTGAATTCCATGAACAATAACAGGAAGGTGTGATTTGGGGGAGGAAGGCTAGTTTTTCTGTTGTGGTAAACACACAAAACAACCTTACAGATATCGACGCAAAGGCTGTATGTAACGTGAGTTTTGCGCTGTTGACTGTTGACACTTTTACCTCTTCAGTTGAAGAATATCTGAAAATGCTATATCTTATCGATAAGTTATAGAGTGAAAGGCATACATCTTCCTAGTAAAGTATAGAGTAAAAAACATATATCTTACGGGTAAATTCTTGAAGTAATTGTGATAGTTTTTTGGTTATGCTCTAAATGCAGTTCTCCATATTGCACCATGTTAATACTAGCTAAATAAATAGTATAATGAAAACATTTTTTAGTAATAATTGTTATACCATATGTTGTGATTTTTTTTTAAATTCAAAAGAAAAGCTTGAATGTACAACTGAAGAGATGTATTTTGCTCATATTCTAATTTAACTCTTAATATCTTGCGGTAAAAATCTATAACTTTCTCCAGTAAAGGTTTGAAGAAAATATGAATTTTTAGTTTTTTGCTCAAGAGAAAATTCTCTATTATGCTCAAGTAAGTTGGGCTCATTAGCCTTTTTTTCTTGTAAAATCATGCTTAAATTTTGACATCTTAAATTAATAATTTAAAATTTCTTACTTTTGAATCATACTCTTCATGTTTTTCCTGCAAAAAAGAAAGCTGTCATTTTGCTCTTTTATAATCATAATTATATGCTAAAAACTATTGGCTCAAGGGCTTTAATAAGTTTTTCATGCCCTCTTCTCATACTTTCATTATTAGTTCTAATATTCCAAAATTTGTCTAAAAGAACTTTTTGTTTATCTGTTAATGATGCTTGAGTACAATATTTTAGAACAGAATTTTTAACTTCACTACTACAATTATGTTAAACTGCGACACCTAATAGACGATCGTTTATATAAAAACTGTCATGATGTTTTGAAAGACGACCAGTGTTATAAGAGCAAGTCCAGCGCTGCAGGTTTGCCTGGGCAGCAAGGGGCCTAGGCCCATCTTTTGGCTCCAGCGCACAAAGGCAAGACCAGGCAATTGATGGGGGCCACAAGCCTGGGCATGCCCAAAGGCAAATCTTGTCTGGGTTTGCTGACGTTATTGACAACGTCAGTAACTAAAAAAAAATTGAAAAAAATTCCAAAAATTTCACATTTTTTTATTTTTTATTTTTTTATAAATACCTAGTCCTATTTTTCACTTCTCATGCAAAAATTAATGGTTTAAGTATAAAAAATAAAAAATAAATTAAAATAAATAGTAATTTCCCTTGCCCTAGCCTTTTGGGGTGAAACAAAAAAGGCAAGGTTGCCACTATTCACGTGAATAGTGGCAGAAAACATTGCCTTGTCTTTGCCTTACCCTTGTCCTTTGGGGTGGAGGTGCTCTTAGGGATCGTCCCTACGTTGTAAGTTGTCTAGGAACCCTTCAAACGGAGAGAAACTCTTATGTGATGGGGATAGCAAGTTTTTTTTTATCCCCGACCAATAACGCAATGATAGGTAGGATAACTTTTCCACATATCATTGTGCAAATCATTTAAGATAAAGAACTAGAAAAATACAAAAAGAAAAATAATAAATGAAAGTAACAACCAACTATTTAAATATATATATATATATATATTCATTTGACATCTTGTTTTTGGGATGTCAAAAATAACATCTCAACCTCCAGCCTTCATTCCACATCAGCTTTGACACATCGGTTAGAGTGATGTGAGATATTATTTCTAACCGTTAAATGTCTATGTGACACTTTTGACACATCGGTTGGAGATGTTCTAATACATCGATGCGTTGGGTTAATTTTTAAAATTACGACGATACCTTAGAGCTTTTCAAAAAACCCATGCTCTCTCAAACACTGTACTATCTCACGAACCGTTCAGAAAACCCTCTCACATCTATGAAGCAAATCTCCCTCGCGCCGTCCACCGAACTTGCCTTGATCACTATCTTCGTCGCGTCGTTCGGGTCAACGAGTTTGTCGCGTTCGCCATCTCCCTCGCGCTGCCCATGGAAGCTACCCTTCCTCATCGCAACCATTTTTAAGCCCCCATCTGGATTCCCATCTTCCATTTCATAAGCTTTAGATTAGGTCTTCTTCCTCGTGGGCCAGAAAGGTACGAAGCTACTTTAGATTAGTTTAGCTTAGATTTTCATGATTTTTTGTTGGCAATGAGGAGATTTTGAATCCTTCAGTTCTCATGGCTCTCAGACTCTCTAGGATTCTCATGGGTAGCCAAACTTTCTCTCTCTCTCTCTCTCTCTCTCTCTCTCTCTCTCTCTGTGTATTCTCTACGTGTTGTGTGCGCGGCTGCAATCATTGGGTTGTTGATTTTGGTCATTATCAAAAGGGAAGGGCAGGGCAGAGGAACAGAGAAGATAAATTTGATAGATCCATGGTTGAGAAAATTTCTGTTCGAAGCTCCCCAAAGCCTGAACATCGATGCAAGTAATGCGTCTCTGTTTCCTTAATTCCTTTGAAAGTCTCTAACTTTAATGACTTAAAAAAAAACCCTGAAAACAAAGATGCATGCTTTATGGTTTTTAGTTCGTGAAGCATTGAAGCTGATTATATTGATTTGGATTTTTCAGGGCGTGTGCCCCAGATGATGAGGTTACCAACACTTGGGCTCCCACCATATCGTGTCTTTACATTGGAAGAAATTGATGATGCAACAAACAATTTCGATGCCACGAATTTGATGGGAGAAGGATCTCAGGGACTGGTATTAACATTGAATTTATGCTGTTTGTTGGCTTTGAATGCATTATTTGATGAAGCCAACATTATTATTCATCAACTTGATGTCATTATTTCTGTGCAATATATACATTACCGGTCTAAAAAGGCTGGCTCAAAGATGGTTTATCGGTACAAGTGAAATGTGTGAAATTAAAGCAGAAGCAGTTGCCCCAAAACTTGGACCAGAGCATGGAAGCCTTGCCAAAACTGAGGCATAGGCATTTGGTTAGCCTTCTTGGACACTGCACTGTCACTTATCAGGACCATCCAATTGCAGCTAGAAATGTATTTATTGTTCTTGAGAACATCTCAAATGGCTTTTTGACGGACCATCTCACTGGTAAAGCTCAAACTAAAAGCAATTATCAGATCACCAAGAAAAGGGTTAATTAAAATACTAAAAGCAATTCTAATACACTTTGGTTTGGCAGATTGGAGAAAGGAGTGGCTGAAAGGGCCACAGAGAATGGCTGTTACCATATATATGTATGTTTCTTTAGAAGAATTAAAAGAATCTTTGTTTTTTGAGTTCAGTATTGTTGTTGTTGGTGTTGATTATGGGTTTGGATTTGGGTATTGGTTTTAGATATAATTGGAGTAGTTCAGTTAAACCCCTTCTCTTACTTTGGCTCTGCCTTTTATCCCTATTATTGTTATTTTCAGGAATACTTTGTTTATGGTTATCTTTTCTCAAAGCTCACATAAGGCGCACTGTGAATGGACAAAAACAACATGATTGCTAAAGTAAGATTCGTGTTTGTGGAGTTTGATGTTCATTTTGCAAGTCTTGTAGAAGGACCTGTTGTTGCTGATATGGGTGTAGGGGAGGGGAATACAACTTCTTGGAAAACGTGCAAGAAGGCAGAGCTAAGTCAATCCAAGAACAAATTAATAAAGTTCAGATCAAATTTGTAGAATCTGTGAGCTCCTTTATTTCTAATTATAAATAGGAAGTATGTATGTAATAGAATAAAGATTAGTTGACTATGTAATAACTATTGAATCTTCACATTTTATGAAAGAAATAATTTTTGAGTGTATATATTCTTAATAAAGCATTATAATTGGTTTTCTTGTTAAAATCATTGTATAGAATCATAGGAAACAAAAAACTAAAATGTACCAGCTTGAGAACTTATTAGATAACAGATTTAAAGATAATAAAACGATGGTTTTATTGGAAAAACCATCGTTTGTGCATATAATTAATGACCGTTTTCAACACAATATCATCTTCTTTATATACAATCAACGATGGTTTGTAACAAAATATCTACGTATTTACCCATAATTTACAACGGTTTTAAACAAAAATCGTCGTCTTTACTCATAAATGACGACGGTTTACCTATAAAGAACTACGATTTTTAACAAAAAAAGGGTCGTCTTTACATATAAAACCGTCGTCTTTACAGATAAACAATGATGGTGAAAAGCCGTCATAGTTTGATACTCCAAAAAGAAGGCGGTTGATTTAACGACGGTTTTCAAAGTATTACAACGACGGTGGATCCCCGTCGTCTATTTCATTTTTTGTAGTAGTGCTTCTTGTACTGGAATTCCATTATAATAAGACTTATTTATGTACATGCCCCCTGTGGTTTCAAACTTGTCTCAAATTACCACATGTGTTTGCAAATGTCCCAAAGTATCCCCCAGCCTTTTAAAAATCGTCTCACGTTACCCGTTCTGTCAGTTTTTTAGCCGTTCCGTTACGAGCGTTGGCCCCCACTTCTTTTTAACTTTTAATCTCTTCAAATGAGGGTCAGTTATAAGAAAATGGAAAATTGGGTGAGAAGGGGAAATTGGAGAAGAGGGCTTAGGGTTTGTGAAAATCTGAGGGTGGCTTCGATTTTGGAAAAAGCTGGAGAAGAACAATCATATGAAACTGACTAACATAATAAAACAGGAGCTTTAGGATTTTAATCAAAGTTCAAGTATGAAATTCATAGAGCCTAAGCTCAATTCACGGCTAATTTATCATTAGAAGCCATTGAAGGCAGCTGGAGCTTCATGAAGAAGTAAACAAAGAGCTAAAAAACAGCTCACACCACCGACTTCACAATCAAAGCTCATACAATTCTAGAAAAGCCCAAGCACTCACAAGAAAAGGTAAAAAAAGTCTCTGACTGCCCAAGGAATTCAAGCACAGAGCTTTGTTAAGCCTCTAGAAATGGACAGAGAGATGAGATGAAAGTGAGGGCTTGGAAAACCAAAACCCAAAGAGAAGAACAAGTGCACCCAGCAAAGGAATGCACTTGAATGCAATGCTCTCAGAGATGCTTAGAGAATCTGGAGGCCAACCTCAGATTTTCACAAACCCTAAGCCCTCTTCTCCAATTTCCCCATTTCTTAGAACTGAGAAACCCTTATTCGAAGAGGTTAAAGGTTAAAACGAAGTGGGGCCCAATGCTCATAACAGAACGGCTAAAAAACTGACGGAACGGGTAATGTGAGATAGTTTTTAAAAGGTTGGAGGGTACTTTGAGACGTTTGCAAACACAGATGGTAATCTGAGACAAGTTTGAAAGCACAGGGGGCATGTACATAAATAAGCCTTATAATAATACGTATTTACTACTAGTCTTGCTTGACTACTCATGCTTAATGGTTTACCACCTTGTGATGGTGTACCATTATTTTTGCTGCTAAAGTATAATGCTCCAAAATATTGCATACATGTCAGTTAATAATACGGGATAAGATGTATGCTAAATTATTATTCATACCTTTAATATGCTCAAATATTGGTCTAAATCCATTTCTTGTAATAGAATCAACAAAATTAACACATCTTCGGGCTGCTTGTTTATTAATAGTAATTTTATTATAATGAGAAACAATATTCTGACAATATGTTCTAATAGTAAATATCTCATTATGTAAGAACAATGAAAATGCTTCAAGGGAGTTTATTACTCCTAAAATTTGTAAGTCAGTGGCTGAAAGCATGTATATCACTAAATTTACCTAATGCATATCTACAAACTTTTTCTTCATATTTAGGTTTTTCTTTATGTTTCTTATGATATAAAATTTATGACCATCCTAAAATGTGTTCTAATCCTATATTATTAAGTTTTTCATTTCTTTATCTGATAATCTATATAATCCTAAATCATAAGTCTTATATTTTTCTATATATTGTTCTTCATTTAAATTATCTATGTCATCTACGAGTTTATATATTATCAAAATTATGCTCAATCATATTTATTTCTAAATTATCAAATGCCATGTGTATTTCTTCTACTTCACTTTCTAAGTCTTCTATATCATTTATTTGTTTATAATTAGTAAATCTTACAATTGCTTCACCTATACGATTTTCAAAAATCTATGCTTTATCAGGTTGTCTATTTTTTGCTACTTGCAAATTGGTTAAAATCTATTATGTTCCTTCTAAAAAGCTATCATCTACTGATTTTGCCTCTATCATATTAACATGTTTACTACCAAAAGTTTGTACTACATTTTGAAATTCTACATTAAATTTATAATTATAGTTGTCTAAAACTTTTCCTACATACAAAAGACTAATACTTAAAATTTTATATTCACCTTTCATATTATAATTTTTTGTTCTTATGCTAATTTTAATATGTTTACTAAATTCTCTAATATTCATGACATAATAAGGAATACATCCTATGATTGCTAGGTTTGTGCTAAGGTTTACTTCTACTGTGGCTATAGTTGCTTGCTGATGGTTATTCCATCTATTATCATATATGTATACTAATGCTTTAGTTCCTACTTGTGCTCTTGTGAGTCCAGCTATTCCTATCATAATTGCTCCTAATGAATTTGTTTATAGTGTAATTTTTTGAGCTGCTTTATTGCTGTGTTACAAAGTAAATTAAGAGTTACTTCTTTATCTATACAACTTACTTCATGTTGACTAATGCGACTTATAATACTATGTTTATTTTCAAATCTTCCCAATTGATATAAATTATATTTATTTTTTTGGGATTTTTCAAAACCTTTTCTAAGAAATTCTTGTTCACTAGGGTTATGGATTGATTCTACTTTTTCTTTTATAAGGATTATTTCCTAAGGTTAAATTTTCTAATTTATCAACTAATTCTTTGGGTAGTGTGGAAGTAGTATTGTGCACTACTTGATTGATTTCTACTATTTGTTCTTCTAATTGATCTACTTTTTCAGCTAGGTTTAAAATTAATTGGATAATCAAATTATTTTGTTTTATAGAGATATTACTACTTACAACATATGTTGTAAATTCTGTAAGGCCTCCTGGTTCGTTATCTAGTTTACCAACTTCTTCTAATACTTTGTTATATTTATTATTAATTTTTGAATATGTCATTAAACTAAAAGTCTATCTATTTTATTATGTAACTTTTCTACTTGTTCAGTTAATATTTTTGTACTAATTGTATTTTTTGCACTTCTATTTTTAATTGCTCAACAATTTCATGGATTGCTATCTATAAGATCTATTAGGTCTTTGATTTCTTTCTTGCTTAAAAATCTTTGAATTTGATTTCTTTCTTGCTTGAAATTTTTTGAATACTTTTATTATCATCTTCTAATTTAGATGTTGTATAGTCTAAGTGTTGTCTAATTGTCCTTTTAAGTAAATTTAGGTTTTAGCCATAAAAAAATTTTCACTTTTGGAAAAAGTCAAAGCTTTTTTTAAAAGGACAAAAAAACCTCTCAACTTTCAAATCAAAGACATGCAAGTGTAAATGATTTCTTAGGAAATTCAAAAATAAATCATGGCAAATTTGTCCATTTTGGCTTCTTTTACAAAATTTCTCTCTCCTTTGGGTTTTTTCAAAGTCTCCCTTGTTTTTAGGGTATTTTTCTAAAACTATTCTAATAACTATTGAATTATTCTATTATGTATATTACGTTCAAATTTTATACTTCTTGCTTGAAATTTTATTCTATTTTATAATGGATTGTTACTGCTATGTAATAGATGTTTATGTTCTTTTTGTAGAAAATAACGAACTAATGTATTATTATCTAAAGTTAATTTTCTATTTTGTTGTTCACTGATTTCTAAATTAAGGTACTGTATCATATAATTAAAATTTATCTAAGTCTATCTTTTTATTTTAATATGCCTAAATGCTCTTAAAATGCTTCTATGGATTCTTTACAAACTTGTAAATGATACTGGTTTCTTATTATGCTATTATATACTTCTAATTTTCTTTTTGGATAATTACTTACTTATAGTGATTTTCTTAATTCTTCTAGATTCCTAATTTCAACTTGGTATTCAATTTTCTGTCTTTTTAATTCTTTTAACCTTTCTTTTATTCTAATAGGTGTTCACCAAGGGCCAAACATGGAAAAGATTCACTGTTCTTAACTAGTGATTCTAGTAATTAACAAAACTTCAACAAGTTATAAAAACGTTGGTTTTTTTATCAGTTGTGTTGATTGACTTCTATCCTCACGGTACTTTCCTGTTATAATTATATTATAATTATATCAGTTGGGACTATAATGTTCTTTTTCACTGTAAACTATTCTGGGTCTGAACGATTTGTCCTCTCTTTCGCAAAAACAAAAACCAAATCATTTAGAAAATGGAAGCAAGATCGCGTTCAACAATCCCTATATAATGCACAATGCAGATTAACATTTAAATATAACCAAAGATTGTAGACACCATTATGACCACAAACAGCGGTTCATATATGTTATCGAACTCTGAAGGCTTGAAAGGTAATTTAAGTCACATGAAACCCGTGGACTCTTTTTGAAGTCTTAGAATCAAGGCAAATATGGGTTATTTTACGTCTCAATCCCACATTCAAATTTGCAATTTTTCCAAAGAAACGAAAGAGAGAAAAAAAGTCGAGCATCCGGGATATAACAATGGGTTCAACAACTGTAAAACCCACAGAAGCAGCCTCTGCATCATTAACAGATCTCTCTATCTTAACAATGGCATTATTCAAAACTTCAGCTACTTCCATTTGTCACACATTGCAGGCAGGCCAACTTAGAACCACGCCCAGGAATAATAGACGGGAACATTCAAGAGAGGCAAGAG